TTTCTTTCTTTCTTTCTTTCTTTCTTTCTTTCTTTCTTTCTTTCTTTTTCTTTCTTTCCTTCCTTCCTTCCTTCATCTACCTTCTTTCCTTCCTTCCGTCATCTTCCTTCCTTCCTTCCTTCCTTCCTTCCTTCCTTCCATCATCTTCCTTCCTTCTTTCCTTCCATATTCTTCCTTCCTTCTTTCCATGTTCTTCCTTCTTTCCTTCCTTCTATCATTTCCTTCCTTCTTTCCTTCCATGTTCTTCATTCCTTCTTTCCTTCCATCATCTACCTTCTTTCCTTCCTTCCATCATCTTCCTTCCTTCCTTCTTTCCTTCCTTCCTTCTATCATCTTCCTTTCTTCTTTCCTTCCTTCTATCATCTTCCTTCCTTCTTTCCTTCCTTCCATCGTCTTCCTTCCTTCTTTCCTTCCATGTTCTTCCTTCTTTCCTTCTATGATCTTCCTTCCTTCCTTCCTTCTTTTCCTTCCTTCCTTCTTTTCCTTCCTTCCTTCTAGGATCTCCCTCGCTCCCACCATTGAGCGACCAGAAAACTTAAGGCAGGAGAGGGAGGCTGGGAGAAGCCCTTCCAGCTCAGAACCTGGGAGCCCAGAATGCACCCCCAACTCCAGATCCCCTGCTCTCCTGGCCTGGGGCTGTGTCCCGGTCAGTGTCCCGGACTCTCTGGCGGGGCTTCCTTGGAGGGCTGGCCCTCAAAAGCTTCCACTTCTCTTGCAGGTCCCTCCTGGACCAGTTACAGAAGCTCCAGGGACTCCTCACCCAGCCACCCAGCAAGGCCGTCCAGACCAGTACCTGCCTCGGGGTAGGTGGCCTCCGCTCCTCAGGTGCTGGGTTCCTGGAGGGCTCCTTCCCCCATCATCCCTGTCTCTTTCCCTCTCCAGATCCTCCTCGTCTCCTTCGGCCTTTTCCTCTGGCCCACCTGTGCCGCGTTTTACGGTGCGTCTCAGGTCGGCGGAGAGAACCCCGAACCATCAGGGGGTGAGTATCCCCACTATGGCTTTCCAATGCCTGCCATTCGAAGATAGAGTGCCTCTGGAACTGGAGGCTCCACGGAGCCCATGGTCTTTCAGCCTCACCTAAAACGCTAGTTTGCTGGTCTAATAATTGACCCTTCCTGTCCATACAAACCTGTCCCAAGGTGGCTCGAGGAGAATAGAATATTATATCATAGAATATGGAATAGAATATATTGAATACTAAAGAATAGAATATTATAGAATGGAATGGGATAGAGAATAGAATTAGATTAGATTAGAATTAGAATGGAATAGAATAAGAATGAATAGAATAGAATAAAATAGAATTAGAGTGAAATAGAATAGAATAGAAAGAATAGAATAGAATAAGAATGAATAGAATAGAATAAAATAGAATTAGAGTCGAATAGAATAGAATAGAAAATAGAATAGAAAATAGAATAGAATAAGAATTAATAGAATAAAATAGAATTAGAGTGAAATAATAGGATAGGATTACAATGCAAGTACAATAGAACAGAGGACAGGATAGGATAGAAAATACAATAATATGCAGAATACAGAATACAAAATATTATAGAATAGGGTAGAATATAAGGTACAAACTATTATATAGAATTGAAAACAACATAGAATAGAAAATACGAAAGAACAGAGAACTGAATGGAGAAGAAATGGGAAAAAAGGGGATCCCATTTTCACGCTCCGTGTCTTCTCCACCAGTCCTGTCCCGAAATATCTTGACCCAAAAGGGACCCCCGGAGCCAGGGACACCGCCTGCTGCCCGTCACCCAAAAGAGCCCCGCGCTCAAGCGGAATCGCCCCTGGAACTCCGTACCCGCCACGTCGGCAAGGACCCGGAAAGCCATCTTGTGGCGGGAGAGACAGCCCGGGAGGCAGGATCCGAACCCCAGACCCAACTGAAGGATCGCCGGCGAGGAAAGGCCACCAGGCCAGACCTCGATGAGATATGAGACATCCCAGCCCCCCAAAAGGATCGAATTGCAGAGTTTTGCGGCCGGGAAGCTTGACGTTAGAGCATGTGCAAAGGGCCTTTCTTCTCCCCACCCCCCCCTCAATCCGAGGGACAGATCCTTGTGTTAACTCCTAAAATATTTCTAGGGTCTTTTTAGAGTTGGCAACGGAAAGGGAAGGTGGGGAGCAGTGCAGCAGCTTGGAAACCGAAAGTGCATTCCATATCAATTCCACACCTGCTGCCGGCTAACCACAACCACCCTTACGGCGCGATATTAATAGCAATATCAGGGGTTTTCAATTCAATTGCACAGCACGTGGAGGAGGTGTGTTTGTGTTTTATTTTCACGGTCACGTTGTGCACTGAAGAGGGTGTTTGATTTCGTTGTATATGAGCTGCAAGGACAATAAACTAAACTAAACTAACTTCCCCAAACGCCGGAGGTTGGAAATTATTCACTGGCTTTCGTGGTTATTTTTTTATCCTCCATTAATTCCGTTCATTCTTCGCCAGCTCTTGTCTTCTCTCTCTCTCTCTCCCCTCACCACACACAAAAAAAACCTCCCTTCGACAAATATCAAATTATCCTGCTTGGAAAGGAAAAAGTTTAATTAACATAAGCCAAGCAAGTCGCCCCGAGGCTTTACTTAAAATGCATCAAACCTTTCTGGATCCTGCAGGTTGCTTGTTGTTTTATTTTTCACCTCAAGGAACCTCGTGATCCGGAGCTGCAATTCGCAGGAGGTTCTTCCCTCCGGTCTCCTCCCCGGGGGGTGATTTCACACCCAAAAAACTTTTCCCTCCCCCAAAAATTCAATTTATAAACGGGACCGCAGGCATAACACACACGGGGGGGGTGGAATTCGTTCCGCCAGAAGATTTGAAGAGCTTGAAATGTCTGTCTCCTTCCTTCCCTTTTCTGCCTCCCTCTTCAAATGCATCTCTTTTTTTAATTATTATTATTATTAACTTTATTGCTCCGAGGGTCATTTGGAAAAATCCTTTCTTAGTGAGCCCTTAGAAGCCCAGAGGAACCTACGGGCCAGATTTCAAGTTTTGTAAGCTTTACGGTTCTGGAGATTTTTTTGGATGATGCGTGAGAGGAATATTTTGCTTTTATAGATAGCTATAGATTGGAAAACTGACATTTACGAGGATGGCTGGCCAGCTTTCCCATTCAAGTTGTTCCTTAAGGCTGCCAATTCGTCTCCCACCCCGAAGCTTTTAGAAAAATTAATTCCCGTAAGACAGATCCTGTTTCCGGGCAGAGCCAGACATCCCTGCGTTCCCGTCGCTCGTTGCGACCAATGCCTAGAATCACAAATACGGTGTGTTTTTCCTACTCTTGTCTTTTTGTCCGGTGGTCGGGTTTGCCCGGGGAGATTAAAAAAACAACAACACAACATCGAGGGGAGGTTCGGGACGCCAACGATCGTAAATCGAGCCGGCTTCCAACGCCAACTTGCCTTCTGCCCTAAGCTAATAGATGGTCCTCGGCTTACGGTCGCAAGGGAGCCCAATGTTTCCGTCGCTAAAAGCGAGAGCATTGCCTTTCGCCTCGTTCTTACGGCCTTTCCTATTCAACGGATCACGGCAGTTGGTAAGTGGGTCACACCGTCGTTAAGTGAATCCGGCTTTCCCCACCACCCCCACTTGACTTGGCTGGTCGGGAGGCGGCTGCGACCGTCGTAAAGAGGAGCGTCTGAATTTTGATCGGCCAAGATCCCGGGTGACACCCCCCCCCACCCTCCCCCAAATAATCAAATCAAAATCGAATCTTTTATCAGACTTGTAGGCCGGCGTAATAACCCAATGCGTTCCGCCGGCTGGCTAAAATCGAGCCTCCCTATCCAGGAGGAGTCTACCTGCCCGAAAGGCAACTCTCCCTTTTTCTTTCCCCTCCGCTGGGCAGTTTTTCAGCGTATGAAGTCACCAGCTCTTCTTAAGTCGTCTCTCTCTCTCTCTCTTTCTTTGTTTCCTCTCTCTCTCCCCGTCCCGTCCGCCCCCATCATCCGCGGGAGATGCAATTTTCTCAGGGAGGGATTGAAAGGGAAAAGCGAAGGATGAGAAGAAAGAAAGAAAGAAAGGAAGGAAGGAAGGAAAGGAAGGAAGGAAGGAAGGAAGGAAGGAAGGAAGGAAAGAAAGAAAGAAAGAAAGAAAGAAAGAAAGAAAGAAAGAAAGAAGCAAGCAAGCAATCTGGCTTCATTCGGGCCAAGGAATGGCGCAGCCTTAATGAACGCTGATAATAACCCCAAGAATAGTTGGGGGATATTAGAGATTGCTCATCCAAACTGAAGCTTTATTGGATGAGTTAAGTCGAGACTGTTGCTTGCTGGGCCTGAGAGAGAGAGAGAGAGAGAGAGAAAGAGAGAGAGAGAGAGATATGAATCAAAGTCAACGGTTTAATTTCCAACGCTGCCAAATTACAAATGCATTAAAACCCTCAGGAGAAATACCTCATTGGCAGCCCCTGCCTGGAACACCAACCCACCCACACACACACACACACCAGCCAGCTTCGAAATCCAGGACACGGCTGTGCCATTCAAACATCCTTGGGTGGTTTGGCTCCTTCCCATCCTTGCCAGGGGCCAATTCCCCAGGAAACCAGGTTTAGGGGGGGCTTCCTCTTTCCCACTTGGAAAACCCCCCCATCTCTCTCTCTCCGTCCCCCACACTTTCTTGCGTGAAGCTAGCAAAAAAGATTTCGCTTTCAGCACCGCGGACAGCTCCCGGCAGCTGAGACGTTGCTCTGCCTGTGGATTTGCCCCGGGGGGGGGAGACGCCAACCATGATCGGGGTCCGTTTGGGCATTGTGGCCCTTCTCTGCCTCTTCTTCCTGGTCCGGGGAGAGCCGGCTGATCAAGGAACATCGGAATGGCCGCTGAAACACACGTACCCAGCTCACGAGAAGGAGCTGGTGAGTGGACGGATTGTGGGGGGAGCTGTGGGGGAGGGGGGGAGAACCCCAAAAATGAACGACGGGGCAGTCGGTCCATGGCACGGATTGCCCTAGAAGCGCAAGAACCCGGATCAAGGTAGCTGCTTTGTCGTCAGTGGTGCCCGTTCCCACGTACATAAAAAACGGGGAACGGTGCCCCCAAAAGTCTCCGGAAACAAGATTAAGGGGAACAGACTCCCATTAAGCCAGCATGCTTCAAAGGGCGGGGCTGCCCATCTCAGCCAGAGGGGATAGCTCAAGCCTTCCGCCCTCTGGGTGGCGGCTAGGGGGATGATGGGTGTTGTAATCCAGTATTCCCAGAGTAGTCATTCATTGTTCTCATCCATTTTAGATCAATCCCGCCTCGTTTCGGAGGACGGATTATTTTGGGGGTTTAAACCGGGAAATATCTTAGGAATTGAGCTGCGATTAAAAACTTCAGGGACTCGGAATCCAATGAATCAAGTTTTAAGATTTTGGCAGCTGTCAGGCAAAAAAGACCCCCCCCCCTCTCCAAACTTGGAAAATAAGACCCTTGGTACGGGGAGGGGGTGGGAGAGAGAGGGAGGGAGGGAAGGGGGCACCGCAGCCCATTAAACCCGGTTGAACACGCTTACGCAGCAAGGGAGCAATTCGCATTCGCCAACCCGGTTCGATTCGGGGAAGCGCCGCCGTCGAAGGACCTCAGCCCAGACGAGGAGGGGAGCCTCCAGGTTCGGAGGCAGTCTACCTGGCCTCACCTTTTTTTTTTTAGGCGGCGAAGGGATTGGGAGAGAAAGGGATTCCCCCGGGGATGGAAAGGAAACCGACGTGAAAAACGAAAAAACAAACCAAACACGCGCAACGTTTTGGTTTCTTGCAGCTGGACGAACTTCAGGAGGTGCTGGAAAAACTGCAGCATAAGAAGGTCTCCGCTTGGGAGAAGAAATTCAACCAAGTGCCCAAGGTATATTTGGGGTAGGGGGTAGGGTGGGAGGGCACCCCCATAAATTTAAGGGGGAGAAGGGAGGGCACCCCCGTGAATTGTCCCTCTTTTGGAGAACGATTATCCTCGCCACAAGTCTCCAGAGCCGCTGCAGAACCGGATCCCGGAATCTTGGGATTCTCGCAGGCCGACACCACGAGGTCATCTAGCCTGACCCCCCCCCCCATCATCCGGCCCCGGGTTCTAGCCATTTGTCCCGCACGGTTCTGCTTGGGCTTAAGGCAGAGAATGGAGCTTCCTGGTTGTGTGGAAGACAGATTTTCACCCTCTCTTGCCTTCTTTCCAGTGCTCCTTTGGAGATTCCTGCGCCGTCCGGAAAGGCCCCCGTATCGGCAAACTCTGCGACTGCCCCCGGAGAGCGACCTGCAACGCTTTCCTTCTCAAATGCTTGTGAGACGCGCCCGATATGCCCTCTTCCACCTTTGCACCTTTGTTGTTCTGCTTCTCTCTGCAATCGGTCAGCTCTGGGGGGTGGCTAGGGATTTTGGGGTAGGGGGTTGGGGTAAGAATCTCTACCCCTTTGCTGAAATCCTGGAGCCGGGCTTTGGGAGGAATAAAGGAGATTTCCTGAGCATGTCTAGAGTGGGTTTGTTTGTTTTTTTTCTTCTGCCAGGGGAGGCTTTTCAGAACCGAGGGTGGAAAAATTGGATTTTATTTTATTTTTCTTGAAGTTGTTCCTAGTTGGGGTAGGCCTGAAAATCGGATTTTGGGGGGGAGGATTCTCAATCTGGATGCTTTTAATTTGGAATAAAACATACACGCAGCCTGCTAAATCTTCCCACTTGGGGTTCTTAAAACCATTTGAGGCTGCCCATAAAACCAAAGATATTCGAACTTGGCCCGCTGCAAACAACCCAACGACGTTGGAAATAAAAGACAAATTATAATCTGGATCCAGGCACACACACACAAACACACCCAACGTTTATCTGGGTTCTACAAGAACCACGGTTTCTGAGTCGGTCCAAAGCCATCGACCTATCAACACAACCGGTTGGCATCTTCCCTCTTGCAAAAGATAAAACCCAGGATAAAACTAACCGCGGTTTAAACACTGTGGGGATGCAGACTGGATTTACAATCCGTAAGGATCTAGTTGATTCTCATCCCTCCACTTTTCCCCGCAATTCCATTTATTCCTTTATTCCAAAATCGCTGAGCTTATTTTAAATCTGTGTTTCTCTAACCTTGGCAACTTTACAATAAGCGGACTTCAACTCCCAGAATTCCACACTGCGCCGACTGGGGAATTCTGGGAGTTGAAGCCCACCTCACTTCCACTGAGAAATATTCCTTTTATCATCATCGCCATCGTTTAAACAGTCCCACAATCCCTTGTGGGGTGGAGTTCAGACAACTGAATGGAGCTAGCAGAGTGTTTTTTACTGGCCGGATGCCTTTCTTGTTGCCAGTGTGGAGTTATAGTCAGCACTCCTGAAATACGACCTTCACGTTGCTCCAAATATAGTTTTTAAACGTTGCTCGATTCTCAACCCACGAGAAAAACCTCCACAAGTTTCGCCCCCCCCCCCCAAAAAAAAAAAAAAAGCCACAAGCCACAACTTCAAAACAACCATCAATCTTGGGAGCGACGCCTTTAATCACAATTCGGAGAAAAAGGATTCGGGGATTTATACAAGGGAAAGGATGAAAAGAGGCTTGTTGTCCCGTTTGTACGACGCACTTCCAGCCGCCAGAGGCTCAAAACGACGGGCGGACGTTCCCGGCCTGGAAGCGAGTTCAAATTGCACGGTTTCCAACGGGCAGAGGTGAAGGCTCAGGGAAGAGGGGGGCCCAAACGCACCCCCTCTTTTGCCACCACCCTGAAGAGGGAAGCGACACCAGTCCGTGGGAGTGTGCGTGCGTGTGTGCGTGTGTGTGTGAAGCCCCCCCCTTCCTCTGCAGCTGACCGCTCCTCCCTGCGGCCAACTCTGGATCCGTCCCGCTCTGTTTCGCCCGCAAACCGACGCTAAATCGATTCGATCTGCTTCCGCACCTTCTCCAGGGCTTTCCCGTCGAGCACCCGCTGGCGGCACACCACCAGAAGGGCGAAGACGGCGGCGGCCCCCAGCATGGCACCCTCAAACTTCCAGAAGATCCGGGTCTCCATTTCCAAAGAGCGGCAACTGCGGGGAGAAAATGGCCGCGGTGACAGCGGGGGGAGGGGAGGGGAGGAGAGGGAGACCCAGAGAAGGGGGCTGGACTAGAGGACCTTGTGGGTCCCTGCCAAGGCGAGGATGCCGCGATAGAGGGATCTAGCTTGCCGATGAGATTTGTATCACAGCCACAGGCAGGCATCTTGTGAATTGGGGGGAGGAACCCCCCAAAATCCACCGACTTGTAAATGAATTGTCAGACTGCAGATTAAGAGGGGAAGATTTCGACACCCAGAATCCCCCAGCCAGCATGCTTGAAACCATGGATTGATGGCTGGGGGATTCTGGGCGTTGAAGCCCACCCTAAACAGGCCACACCCACCTCTTGAATTCGCCTTTCTTGGACAGCCCGCAGTTGATCTGCTCAACAAACCCGGTGACGCCGCATTCCGACATGGTTTTCTAGAAGCGAGGAGAGACACACATTTTCCTGCCCGTCTCTCTCTCTCTCTCTCTCTCTCCTTCCTATCACCCTCTGCGCCCCCCCCCCCCCTCCCACCACACCCCCCCCCCCCCCCCAACCCCCCCCCTGCCCCCCCCAAACCCCCCACTTACAATCTGGAAACTCGTGCAAGGAGCGCACTCCGTCGTCACCACGAAATCCTCCCTCCGCCAACACGGAGTTGTGCCGGTCAGACTCGCTGCGGGGAAAGCCGAACGGGACAACGGGGTGAAAATAGCGCCCCGCTCCCTTTCTTTTCTTTCTTTTTATTTTTTTTGAGGTACCCCCGAGATTCCTCCCCCCAACATCGGTGCCACCTTGCTGGTGCCGAGTGCGAAATCCTTACCTGGCGCTTTGGCATCGTTCTTGGCGATTCCCTCGGCCGACCTGCGAGAGGACGAAGAGACAAGGGGGGGGGGGTGTCAGATTGCATTCACTCCACGGCGGCGGCCAGAAAGGTCGTGAAACGGGTCTCCAAACTCACTGGATAAAAAGGTTTCTTTCCCCTTAGCCATTTTGGGCTGGGTGACCCCGTCGCTAAGTCGAGGACCGCGAACGGACGGAGCTCAAGTGAGCCAAAATGATTGTAAAATAAAATTAATTTAAAAATCCAATCGTTCTTTCCCCCCCTCCCATATTTTGGCAGGCAACACCCCCCCCTTACGTTATTTTTTTGAACGGTTCCCCCTCATTTAAGCAGCATTTCATAGCATCGAAATTTCAAGGACTACACCACCCATCATCCCCCAGCCAGCAAGGAGAGGTGGGGGGGGGCTAGAAAGGGGGTTCAGTGACCCTCCCCTCATTCTTTCTTTTTTTTTAACCCGCTTGTGCTACACCTCTCATCCTCCCCCCACCCCCACCCCCACCTTGGTGGTCCTGAGCCCCATGGGACTTGTAGTCCAACCCAGCAGCAGCTGGCTGGGGGAGCATTGGCCCTCCAGAAAGAGACGCCCCTCCCTCCTAAAAGGACCCCCTGCCCACCCTCAACCCCCATCTGGTTCTCCCCCACCCCACCCCACGAGGGGGGGACCCCCCCACCCTCCCACTTACCGCGAAGGGGCGACCACCAAACCCAAAACCGCCCACAGCGCCAGGCGCCATCTTGGCCCCATCCTCGCCCGGCACTTCCGCCCTCACACACGGGGTGCATTCTGGGAAAGAAAGGCGACGGGCCGGCGTTCTGCGCACGCGCGGGGGAAAATAAATAAATAAATAAAAAAGGGCTCTTTGCCCAGCCGAACCGCAAAGGGGCTCAAGTCCGTTTTGGGGGGGTTTGCCCACCAGGCACTTCGGGTCTTCGGTTGCAGCTCGGAGAAAGAGGACGGACAATTATTATCGTCCTGTATATGTGGGATTTAAGACATGTATTTATAGATGTTCATAGCATGTCTGTGTGAATCTGTATATCGCTTTGGTTGTATGCCATAAATAAATAGTTGCATTTATTAGCTGCCAAATCTACCTGGTTATCTATCAATCTATCGACCTATCTCTGATATTTCTATCATCTATGTATCTACTTAGCTATCCATCCACTATATTTCTATCTGATACTGTTACTATCTATTCCTCCATCTATCCATCCACCTATTCCTCCTACATGTCTGTCCATCAAATATTTATCTATCATCTATTATATCTATTCTATCATCTATCTCCTATATATTTCTATCTATATCATTTATGCACTGTTTTCCATCTGATTCATCTATTCATGATTTTTTCTTTATGTACGCTAATAACTTATGCATCAAAGACAAGTTCCTTGTGTGTCCAATCACACTTGGCCAATAAAGAATTATCTTCTCTTCCCTTCCCTTCCCATTCTATTCTATCATTCTATCTCATCGATCTCTATCATGCCTGTCTGTCTATCTAATCAATCCATCCATCCATCTGTCATCTATCTATCTATCTATCTATCTATCTATCTATCTATCTATCTATCTATCTATCTATCTATCTATCTATCTATCTATCTAATCAATCCATCCATCCATCCGTCTGTCTGTCTGTCTATCTATCTATCTATCTATCTATCTATCTATCTATCTATCTATCTATCTATCTATCTAATCCATCCATCCATCCATCCATCCATCCATCCATCCATCCATCCATCCATCCATCTATCTATCTATCTATCTATCTATCTATCTATCTATCTATCTAATCCATCCATCCATCCATCCATCTATCTATTTATCTATCTGTCTATCTATCTGTCTATCTATCTATCTATCTAATCAATCCATCCATCCATCTATCATCTATCTATCTATCTGTCTGTCTATCTATCTATCTATCAGCATGTACTAAAAGCTCATCTACAGAGAGATGAATATGGATATTTTATTATTATTATTCTCCTGCCTATTACTTTTCTAAGTAACTCAAGATGTCCAACATACACAATACTCCTCCCTCCTCCTGTTTTCCCATAACAACCACCCTGTAAGATGGGTTGGAACATGAGTGGTCCCACGCTTTCTCTTCAAGGGGACAGAAGCCCCTATTTGAACAATTGAAGACCCTTCCCAGAGTGTTTCTCCCTCCCTTTTGGCTCCCTTCCCCTCGCGGAATCCAGAAAATGACTTTTCAACACACCGGATTTTCGGGAAAAAAAACCCTGCAAATATTTAATCGTCTTCACAGATTTACAAAAGGCAATTGGTCCCCCAGCACGTGACTGGTTCCTCGTGGGTTTCCACCCATCCAAAGTGCAGAGTCCCAGCAGGCAGAAATATATATATTTATATACTTTTTTTAAAAAAAAGATTTTTCTCCTCCCGCTGTGAGATTCCCAATCTGATTCTTTCCTATGTCTATTTAAAGGCACCGCGGAGCTACAGGGCTTGGTATTTTTTATTCTATTTTAACAACTTTCAAGATGGGTGGGCTTCCAATTCCCAGAATTCCCCAGCTAGCAAGGCTGGGAGTTGGAAGTTCGCCTATTTTAAAGTTGCAAACTTTGACAAACATCGGCTGGCCGAAATGTCTGGCGAATGCAGGGATTTGGGGAGGGGAAGCCGACACCCCCCGTTATTAATACCCCCTCCCCAATTTTTCAACCTCTCCCTCTTCAGCTCTGGGACTCCCTCCCTCCCTCCCTCCCCAAACTCTCCTTCCCTCTTCCTGGTGTAGGGTCTCCCGCTTGGGCGGGGGGTTGGACTAGATGACCTATAAGGTCCCTTCCAACTCGGATTATCTGTTATTATTTATCCTGCACAGATTAAAAGGCAGAGTCCCCAAATGGAAAACCACGACGATGATGAAGAAGTCAGGGAAATGGTGTCCAAGTCCTTCCAGGATCCAGCCCGAAACGACTGGGAGTCTCGGGGTGGCAGAGGGGAGAAACAGCCCCACCCAAGCCAAACGGGGCCCGGGATAGGGATGTTTCCGAACGGGCTGGCTGGCGGTTACAGCAAGGAGCACTTGGAGCTGGTTTTGGGTGTGGCTTTCAGTTCCGGAGGCCTCTTGGGGAGCTGAGCCTGGAAGAAGAAGAAGAGATGGGGAGTCAGGAGCTGGTTGACCCCCGGATGGTCCAAGAAGGGGAAGGAAGAGGAGGAGGAGAGAGGGGGGAGAAGGAGGAGGCGAAGAAAAAAGGAGGGAGGAGAGAGGATGATTATGGAGGAAAGGAAAGAGTGGGAGGAGGAGGAGGAGAAAAAGGAAGAGGAGGAGGAGAAAGAAAATGATGAAGGTTATGGAAGAGGAGAAAGAATAGAGGAGGAGGATAAAAAGGAGGAAGGATGATGGAAAAGGAGGAGGAATAAGAGGGGAGAAGAGGGGAGAAGAGGGAGGAGGAGGAGGAGGAGGAGGAGGAGGAGGAGGAGGAGGAGGAAGAAGAAGAAGAAGAAGAAGAAGAAGAAGAAGAAGAAGAAGAAGAAGAAGAAGAAGAAGAAGAAGAAGAAGAAGAAGAAGAAGAAGAAGAAATAATAATTCTGTTTTCTTCTTTCTGTTTGGTTTTTGATGTAAGTCCATCCATTTCTGGAATGAGGAGGAGGAGGAAGAGGAAGAGGAAACAGAAAGAAAAACAGAAAGAGGAGTGGAAGGAAGAGGAAGAGGAGGGATTTGGTCACATTTTACCGGCGGTTTTCACTCCCCCTCCCCCCCGTTCTTCCCCACGGGGCACTCACCGATTTCTTGACCGATTTGAGAAGAATGTCGCGAGCCAAAGTATTGAACGCCTGAAGTCGAGGAGAGAAAAATAAATAAAAATAAACAGACCAGGGGATCCATAATTTTGTTTTTCCGGCTGTTTACTACTTGGAGAAGCCCCCGCTCGGGCTGGCCCTCCGCTCTCCCCCAGAAGGCAGAAGCCCGGAATCCCCCACCCGCCAGCCAAGGCTGCCTCGTCTCCTGCAGCCGCAGGGGCAACAGCCAAGGGGGCCTGGAAGCCAAATAGGTGTCTCTGTGTGGCTTTTTTTGGGGGGGGGGGGAAAGGGGACCCCTCACCTCCTCCACGTTCAAGCTGGACTTGGCGCTGGTCTCAAAGAACTTGATCCCGTGTTCCCTGCACAGCTGCCGAGAGAGAAGTCATGAAACGGGAGAGCCAAAGCCAACGCCAGCTGCGCTCTGCGCATGCACACACACACCCCCCCCGTCCCGCGATTCCTGCACCCGGATACCTTCTCGGCTTGGTCCCGGGAGACTTTGCGCTTCATCTCCATATCACACTTGTTCCCTAGCAGGAGGCGCTCCACGCCGGCTGAGGCATTCTGGGAAAAGGGAAGGAAGAGAGGGAGAGAAAAGGAAGGAAGATAAATAAGAAGGAGGGAAGAGACAGGGAGGGAAGGAAGGAAAGGATAAAAAAGGAAGCAAGGGATAGAGAAGGAAGCAAGATTAAAAAAGGAGGAAAGAGATAGGGAAGGAAGGAAGGCGGGAGGGATAGAGAAGGAAGGAAGAGATAAAAAGTAAGGAAGAGGTAAAAAAGGAAGAGATAGGGAAGGAAGGAAGGAGGGAGGGATAGAGAAGGAAGGAGGAGATAAAAAGTAAGGAAGAGGTAAAAAAGGAAAAGATAGGGAAGGAAGGAAGGAGGGAGGGATAGAGAAGGAAGGAAGATTTAAAAAGGAGGAAAGAGATAGGGAAGGAAGGAAGGGATAAAAAGTAAGGAAGAGATAAAAAGGAAGAGATAGGGAAGGAAGGAAGGAGGGATAGAGAAGGAAGGAAGAGATAAAAGTAACGAAGAGATAAAAAGGAAGAGATGGGGAAGGAAGGAAGGAGGGGGGATAGAGAAGGAAGGAAGGAGAGATAGAGAAGGAAGAGATAAAGAAGGGATAGAGAAGGAAGGAAGAGATAAAGAAGGAAGAGAGGTAAGGAAGGAAAGGAAGGGAAGAAAGAAGGATGGAGAGAGGGAGGGAGGGAGATAAGGAGGTAAGGAAGGACAGTAGGAAGGAGGAAGGGAAGGGAAGGAAGTAGGGAGGAAAGAAGGAAGAACATTTAAGCCTGGATCCCAGAAATGGACATCCCCCCCCCCTCTCTTTGGTGGAAGTGATATTTCCACCCACCATTCCTAAAACAAACCATCAACCTATTTTGGTAAATATTTACTAATTTATTCAATTCCTACAGGCGGCCATCTTGCGTAGGGGACTGTGGCGTTAAAAGGACTCGCCCCCAATGAAGGCAAATAACCAAGAACAGAACATGCACAATCCTTTTTTAAAAAAAACAAATTTATAAGCCCTAATAAATGATCCCCCCTGTAGCCACTAGAGGGCGGACGCCTCTGTCTGTGGGAACTGCCCTTTCATTCCCTTCTGTTCAGAGCCTGTTCTGGGTTTTGGCCACCAGAGGGCAGTGTTGGCCATCATTTGCCTCTTTTTTTTTTGGCCATCCCGGATCTGAATCAAGAACGGATGGAAAACAGGATAGGATGGGGGCGGGGGGGGGGGGGGAATTTTTGGGGGCCAAAGGTCAGGGGGGGTGTGTGGGGGGGGTCCCCCTAGCTGCAGAGAATCTACCCCCGCAAAAAAAGCTGATCCCCTTTTGAAATCCTCAAACCCCCCCAGCACCATTTCGCACCCACCTCTTTGATGCTCTTCATCCAATTTTGAATGTTCTCGAAGGATTTCTCATCCGTGATGTCGTAGACGAGAATAATTCCCTACGACAGAATTGGGGGGGATCCGTGGGGAGGGGGGCCACTCTGGGAGAGGGGCCTTCCCCATTCTTTGGGCCTCCCCCCCCCCCAACCTGCTCCCAACACCCTTTCCCCCCCTTTTCCCCCCTCCTCTTCTTCCTCTCCTGTCGTTCCTCTTACATCCGGTGCCTATTTCACCAGGGGATATTTTGGACCACAGAGTCGGGGGTGGGGTGGGAATTATTTTTAATCAATTTAATAAGAGCAAATCTTATATTTTGAGGGTGGGGAAGCTAGATTGGTCCCCGTCGTGCACCTGGCAAAGCGTGGCAATGCAGAGGCATCCAATTTCGAAGAGAATAACAGAGTGGGAAGGGAACCTTGGAGGTCTTCTAGTCCAACCCCCTGCTAAGTAAGTAAGTAAGTAATTAGGGAGGGAAGGAAGGAAGGAAGGAAGGAAGGAAGGAAGGAAGGAAGGAAGGAAGGAAGGAAGGAAGGAAGGAAGGATAGAAGGAAGGATGGAAGGAAGAAAGGAAGAAAGGAAGGATGGAAGGAAGGAAGGATGGAAGGAAAGAAGGAAGGATGGAAGGAAGGATAGAAGGAAGGAAGGAAGGATGGAAGGAAGGAAGGAGGAAGGAAGGAAGGAAGGAAGGAAGGATGGAAGGAAGGAAAGAAGGAAGGAAGGAAGGAAGGAAGGAAGGAAGGAAGGAAGGAAGGAAAGAAGGAAGGAAGGAAGGAAGGAAGGAAGGATAGAAGGAAGGAAGGAAGGATGGAAAGAAGGAAAGAAGGAAGGAAGAAAGGATAACGGAGTTGGAAGGGACCTGCGAGGTCTTCTAGTCCAACCCCCCGCTTAGGCAGGGAATCCTATACCATTTCATTGTCTGAATCGTTTTATTTTAATTGGATCTGGATCTGGGTTTTTTTTTTTCTTCCCTTCTGGGGCTCCCCAAAATGTCTGAGGTGCTGCTCATTTGGGATGGTATCCCCCCTTCCGGGGGGGGGGTGTCTCCGAGGGGTGGCAGCCCCCTTACCATGGCTCCTCGGTAGTAGGCGGTTGTAATGGTCTTGAACCTCTCCTGGCCAGCCGTGTCCCTGCAAGGAACAATGGGTCTTTTTTTAAAAAAAATAAAGAATAAATCATTTCCCCTCGTCGTTAAAAAGAGCGACTTCTCACCGATCCTCGCGCTTACGACGGCCACAGAATTCCCCGCGTTCAAAACTGGGGTGCTTGGCCACCGACGCACATTTACGAGGAGCCGCAACGAGCCAAGCCAGCGGAGAGAAACCCGGTTTGCTTCAAACGACCGGAGGATTCGCTTAAGAGCGGCGGCGGGAAGCTTAAAACGCTCTCATGAAATCGGAGGCCGCTTCGCTTTAACGGCCGCCTCGCTTTAACGGCCACCTCGCTCCCCGGTGGAAATTCTGCTCCCGATTCCCGTCATAAAGTGGAGGGTTTAGTTGAGTACAATTGGGCCAATTCTGGACGGCCGGACGCCTCTCCCCATCATCGTAGCCTTGCCAATACGTTGGACTCTTAACCCCCATCATGCACAGCGGACTCCCTAACCCATCTGCAGGGGGGCTCTTGCAATTCAAACCAGCTGCCCATTTTCCTTCCAACTGCTGATGTTCTCCAAAATAATAATTTTTCCTTCTTTTTTTCCTTCCTTCTCTTTTACAAACGTGTTTACGGATTTATTTTTTCCCCCAAACGGTCACAAAGGGTCCTGCTTCCCACCCCGCCTGAGGCGTTTAACCCCACCCTTTTTGACTCCCTACTCCATAATCCACCTACCTTCTCCACAATTACACACACACACACACAGACAAATTCCGTTCTAGAAGCACTCACCAAACCTGCAATTTAATCCTTTTACCCTCCACTTCCACAGTCCGGATTTTGAAATCGATGCCTGCAGGGCGGGGGGGGGGGGGGGGAGGAAAGAAAACCGGAATTTGTCCTTACTCACAGTTTCCACCAGGTTTACTTCATCGTTCCTATCCCCGTGTTCGATTTGGGGTCTCCAATCCTTTCAGGTCGGGGGGGGGGGGGGGGAGACAGGACTCATTTCCCAACCTATTGATTGAACTCAGACCTTGGAGGGTGCCCAATCAGAGCTTCTCCATCGTCAAGCTTCACCCGACTCAGCCAAGATTCTAGTCCTCATGGAGTTTGGATTTATTTTATTTTATTTGCCGCCACCACCATCTCCCCCCAAAAAAGGAAGGGTGTGCTGAGTAAAACCAAAATTGGGACATTTCTTTTGATTGTTTCTTCCCTCTTGGGGAGGGGACTCTATAGTGTTTCGCACCTGGGCCGCCTCTCCTGACCCCAACTGCAACCCCGATAGTGGATGAGCTGAACCCCCAAAGACCCAAATTCACACACACACACAAAAGCTGCAGCTTCCCATCGCTCCAAAGAGTGTTGCAAATCTTGAAATGGGGGGGGGACACACACCGCGGATCAGCCCCCTCCTCCTTTTCCAGCAGGTTTCTCCCCCTTTTCTCCCCCGATTCCCATCATCCACAGCCCCAAGCCTGGGATAGCGGATTTGCAGCTTGGGTGGGAAGAGATGCGAGGCGGGTGGAGAAGTAGAACCCACCCAACGCCCTGGACGGGGGAGGGCTGCTGCCGCCGCTCCTGGCTATCCTGCTCTTATTTGGGTTTGGGGGGTGGCAATGGGGAGGGGTGGGGTTAAGGGTCAAGGGGGGGGTCTCTGCAGAAGCCCCCCCCTCCTCCTCCTCACCGATGGTGCTGATGTAGGTGCCGCTGAAGCTGTCCTCGGAGAAGCGGATGATGAGACAAGTCTTGCCCACTCCGCTGTCCCCGATCAGGAGGAGTTTGAAAAGGTGGTCATAAGATTTGGCCATTTTGAGGGGGGGGGGGGGGCTGTCCGGGCCCCCTCCTCCCGCGTGGGGGGGGGGGGGGAAATCTGGGGGGAAGGGGCTCCTGGGAAGAAAGAAAGAAAGAAAAAAAACAAGGGGACAAAAAAAAAGGGTGAGGATCCAGCCGGGAAGAAACTTTGGCGAAGGAGGGGCTGAAGTTTTCCCTCTGCCCTCCTCTTCCTCCTCTTCCTCCTCCTCCTCCTCTGACAAGGGTGCCCAAACCCCTCCCTCCCCCTCCCCAAAATGGGCAGGGAAGCAGCCCCCCCCACCCCAAGGCAGGAGGGGTTGACCCCTGACTCATATGGAGAGGAGGAGGAGGAGGAGGAGGAAGCATCGCCCAGCTGCGGCTGCGGCTGGGAATTCATTCATTCCTTTGCCAAGGAGGAGCCGGAGAGCTCCCTGGGGGGCGGGGCGTGAGAAAAAGAGGGCCCCTGAGCATGGGCAGAGTGCCTTTCCTCAGGCGGAGGAAGGGAAAGAGGAGAGGGAAGAGGCAGCCTTGAGCGAAGGATCCATTTTTGCTTTGCAACAAAAAATGCAAAATTCCCAGGAGGGTTTTTTGAAAGGAGGTTTTTTTTCTGTTGCTGTCACCCTCATCCTTGAAATATTGTTTATTAATATTGTTTATTTAAACGATTATTATTTTATTGGGAAACGTTCTCATGTTTGTTTCGGCTTGGAACACAATTCAGGATGTTGGTTTGAGATAAGCAATAAAAACGAAAGTTGGATGTTGGAGCTTGCTGATTAGATTAGGCTTCTTGTTATAGAGATGGATGGCGTATATATTATTATGCAAAAGTAAAAAAAATTGAGGCTGTAATGTTTATTATTTTCTACTGGTCTAAAAAGAGTTGGAAGTTAATGGGCTTTTTTTTTGCATTTTTTTCCCCTTTTCCGCTACATACTCTCCTTTTTCCCTTTTTTCCTCCTCTGGTTTCCTATCGTTTTCATTCTCTTTTCTATTTTACAATCTGGATAAATTAATTTAAAAAAACTGTCCTTGCAAAATATGGAAATATTTGGCGCCCTGATTAAATCTGGTGTCCATAATGTTCAACGACCGCTGGCGTTTAAAACTACGTCATGCATTTCTTGACAAGGGAACAGTGTATTGTGAGTGTGTGTGTGTGTTTGTTGTGGGGGAGCACCCAAAGAATAAATTTATTCCATGAGGACTAGAGCCTTGGTAAGCCATCAGAGCAAGGGAAGAGCTGAGTACGAGAATGGGACAGTGTGTATCTGTTGTGTGTGTGTGTGAGTGTTGTGTGCATTGTGAGTGTGTGTGTGTTTGTTGTATGTGTGTTGGGGGACCACCGGAAGAATAAACCTCTTTCATGAGGACTAGAGTCTTGGTAAGCCTTCAGAGCAAGGGAAGAGCCCAGTAAGACAATAGGACGTTGTGCGTTGCGTGCGTGTTGTTTGTGTTTGTTTGTGTGTGTGTGTGTGTTGGGAGGACAGCAGAAGAAGAATAAATATCTTCCTCAGCCCGGCCTACCCTGCAGGGCTGTGAGGAGGACAAGAAGGAGGAGGGGGGAGGGGACGCCTTTGTCCTCCGTCTCAAAATGGCGCCCAAGGTGGCTCCCTCCCTCTGCCCCGCCCCCTTTTCCTCCTCCTCCTCCTCCTCCTCCTTAGACCTCCCCAAGATGGCGCCCTTTTCGCCCCGCCCACCCTCCCCGGACTTCCGCCCCGTGCGGGGGAAACCCCGCAGCGGATATAGCCCTCCCTCCTTCCGGCCGGCCTCCTTTTCGTCCGCAGCTGCCTCCACGCGAACATGCCGGTGCGTCTCTCTGCGGGCTCGGCCTCCCCCGGGCGGGCCCGCCTCCCTTCTCCCCTCGCCCGGGGGCACCTTCCGGGGCCGCCTCGGGGGCTTCTCCGGGCCTCCCAAGAGGGGAGGGGGGCGGCCACGCTGAGCTGGCCACGCCGCCGAGGCTCAAGATGGCGGCGTGGAGGCGGTTGGTGGAGGGTGGGGGGGGGGGGGGGAGGGGGGGGGGGGGGGGGAGGAGGAGGAGGAACAAGAGGGGGGGTCTCATCCCCTCTTCCTATTTTGGTGTCCCCCCCCCCCCCCCCGCCCCGAAGGACCCCCTGCACCCCTCCCCCGAGGAAGAGAAGCGGAAGCACAAGAAGAAGCGCCTGGTGCAGAGCCCCAACTCCTACTTCATGGACGTCAAGTGCCCGGGTGAGGGGCCTGGGGGGCGGGGTGGGGTGGGGGGGTTACATGGGGTCGGAGGGTGGGCGGGGGGAGCCATCCAGCCAGGCCCCGCACACACTTGCACGCGGGAGGGGGGCGGGAAACAACAACAACAAAAAAAAACCAGGATAACAAGAGTTGAGAGGGGCTTGCAAGAGGTCATCAAGTCCGCCCCTCTGCTCAGAAGATGGGATAGTTAGAGTTGGAAGGGGCTTCAGAGGTCATCCAGCCGAGCCCTCCTGCTCAAAAGATGGAAGAGGTTGGAGGGGACCTTGAGGGCCATCTAGTCCATCCCTCCTGCTCGGAAGATGGATAACTACAGCTGAAAGGGGCCTTGAGCGTCATCTAGTCCACCCCTCTGCTCGGAAGATGGAATAACTAGAGTTGGAAGGGGCCTCGCAGGTCATCCAGCCGAGCCCCCCTGCTTGGAAGATGGGATAATAGAATTGGAAGGGGGTCATCCAGCCGAGCCCTCCTGCTCAAAAGATGGAAGAAGAGGT